GTCCTCAAACTGCCTTCATCTTATGTGTGAGGCCTAGAGATGCTAACCTTTTCCAGAGTGAGCTAAACTGTAGTGGTGTGAGGGCCTAACCTTGGCTGTCTGTCTCCAGACTGTGGGCACTATTTACTCCTCCTCTCTAACCCTTCTCTGTATATGAATCTCTCGCTCCAGGATTTCCAAACAGTGATTGATATTTGTAACATATTTCAAGCATGGCCTTTCACTCTTGCAGCTAAGTATTTGGGATCAATTTTATTGTCTTTCTGGTCCCTGGATGCATTCACACCTCCTACCTCAAAACCACCATCACTTTGTGATGTAGTCTTCCACTGCTCTCTTATGCCCACTAGAAAGCTCTGACATCTATCTGGGTGGATGTGGTTTGGAAATCTTGCCAGGGGTAAGGTCTTACTGGACCCACATTGCCTCTGGGAACTTCTGCCCAAAAGTGGGATAATACAAGATACTACCCGATTCCTGATAAGGTCTGTGAATCAGAACGATATGGGTAACAAGGCAGGGTAGGGCTGGTATCAGTATGGCACATTGCCATAGAAACTGTGGTCCAATAAGCTAGTTTCGAATTCCCCATCCATTGAATCATTCATTTTCTCCTTCACTGTCTCTGCAGGCTTGGGAACCATGGGCCGAAGCATTGTCATTACTTTTCTAAGGGCAAAAATTCCTGTGGTTGCTGTAGAAGTAGACCAAAAGCAGCTCAAAACTGCAAAGAAGATAATAACTTCCAGCTTGGAAAAGGCAGCATCCGAAATGCCACAGAATGACCAGCCTTGGTCAGGACCAAAACTCAGGTTCAGTTCATCTATGAAGGAGCTTGCTAGCGTAGACTTAGTTGTCGAAGCAGTATTTGAGGATATGAAGCTGAAGAAACGAGTCTTTGCTGAACTGTCAGCTGTGTGCAAGCCAGAAGCATTTTTGTGCACCAATACTTCAGCCCTGGATGTGGATGAATTTGCTTCTTCCACAGATCGGCCGCATTTGGTCATTGGCRTGCACTTCTTCACACCAGCTCATGTAAAGAAGTTGTTAGAGGTTATTCCTAGCCGACACTCTTCCCCCAGCACCATTGCCACTGTTATGAACTTAGCCAAAAAGATTAAGAAGATTGGCGTAGTCGTAGGCAACTGCCATGGCTTTGTTGGTAATCGAATGCTGGTCCCTTATTATAACCAGACGTATTTCTTGGTAGAAGAAGGTAGCAAGCCAGAGGAGATAGATCAGGTGCTGGAGGAATTTGGTTTTAAAATGGGACCCTTTCGAGGGTCTGATCTTGCTGGGTTGGATGTGAGTTGGAAAGTTCGCCAGGAACAAGGTCTTACTGGACCCACATTGCCTCCTGGTACTCCTGTCCGAAAGCGGGGTACTAGAAGATACTGCCCAATTCCTGATATGCTCTGTGAATCAGGACGCTATGGGCAGAAGACAGGGCAGGGGTGGTATCAATATGACAAGCCATTGGGAAGGATTCACAAACCTGATCCCTGGCTTTCCAAATTTCTGTCACAGTACAGAGAAACCCATCATATTGAACCCCGTGTCATTAGCAAGGATGAGATCCTTGAGCGCWGCTTGTATGCACTCATCAATGAAGGGTTCCGTATCTTGGGAGAAGGGATGGCTGCTGGCCCAGAGCACATTGATGCCATCTACTTGAATGGGTGTAGCTGGCCAAGGCACAAGGGTGGGCCCATGTTCTATGCTTCCACAATTGGGTTGCCCACAGTTCTGGAGAAGTTGCAGAAGTACTACAGGCAGAATCCTGATATTCCCCACCTGGAGCCCAGCGACTACCTAAAAAAGCTGGCCTCCCAGGGAAACCCTGCTCTGAAAGAATGGCAAAGCTTGGCAGGGCCCCCCAGCAGTAAATTGTGATTCAGGCTGTGCCTCCCATGCTGGCATCGGGTAAAACTCACTGGATTTCAATAAAGTTAATTCCAAGAATCCAGAGTAAGAGTACTCTGAAATGCAAAGCAAAGGAAGAAATTGGTTACTTAAACCTTCCTTTTGGTGTTTTTTCTTCTTGATTCTAATGAAGGAAATCTTTATGAAAGTGCTTTCTATGCCTCTGAATGTGTTCCTTTCAGATAAATTTAGTGAATGAAGTTGTGTAAACATAATTCTACAATAGCTGATGAGAGAGCCTTAGGAATATGTTGAGGTTCCCAAGTGCTTTGATTGTTGGAGCAATGTTCAACATTTAATAAAATATAAATGTAGCTAAATCATAAACTTCTTTTGTCTTGGCCTGGGGATATAGCTCAGTTGGTAGAGTGCTTGCCTCCCCTGCACAAGGCCCTGGGTTCAATCCYCAGCATCACACATACACAAAAAAATTTCTTTTGTCTTTTTAACCTCACATACGTATTCTTGATTGCAAATCCTATAGGTCATACATGCCCACACAGTCACTGAGCACCCCCTGAGTTTCTTGCTCCACTTGAGAGCACATGGAAGACCTAGAGCCCAGAGGATATTAAACTAGTATAGAAGCCTGCGTTGCTGTTGGGTCCATACTTTCAGAGATGGAGATCATTRGCAGGGTAGAGTCTGCAATGAGGGTCTCTATGGGCCGGGGGCATGGAACACTGCCTAAGGACAAGCAGATTAGGAGCAAGAAAGAAGGCCCATCAGAGTTGGAAATTGGTGAGGACTCCAAGTATTTGAGACCCAAACAGGGCACTCCAGGGCAGCTTGGCAAATCATGCTCATGAGATCATTTCTGTCCAAGGCTCAGTCTCCTGTGCTTGCTGCTTGCAAGCGGCTCAGTGATATTTGTTGTTTATTCCCCAGGACACAGAACATATGCAACGTGGTCTTTATGGTCTTTTCTATTCAAGGAGAAGTAACAGAAAGACTAAAGTTGTTCCCTTAGTTTAAGAAGGGATCTTAGTGAACATCTAATGTTCAAGGATTTCTTAATTAAAAAAATTTTTTTTGTAGTTGTAGATGGACAGAATGCCTTTATTTGTATATTTTTTAAAATGTGGTGCTAAGGATCAAACCCAGTGCCTCACACATGCTAGGCAAGCACTCTGCCACTGAGCTACAGCCCCAGCTCAAGGATTTCTTAGTTCTTAAGCAGTGTAACAATGCCAGTTTCCCTGTCAAGACAAGGACCTATGAATATGCATTTGGAAATGGTTGAATTTGAAAAATCTAAAATTATGGCAAAGTAGATCATGTATAGTTTTGTTATTGCTGTTAATATCCTTCTCTTTTTGACTTTTTGACTTGTGTTGTTCAAAGTTAAGGCACTATGCAACAGAAAAACTTGTCAGAATTACACAGACAAAAATTCGAGACAGCCCAAATATCCACTAACCAAATGTCAACTAACAAATGTGGTCTGTTCATACAGTCAGCTATTACTCACAAAAAGAAATGAAGTCCTGGGCTGGGGTTGTGGCTCAGAGGTAGAACATTCACCTAGCATGTATGAGGCACTGGGTTCGATCCTCAGAACCACATTAAGTTGTAAGTGTCCACTTACAACTAAAAAATAAATGTTGTTTAAAAAAGAAAGAAATGAAGTCCAGATATCTGCTACAGCATGAGGAACCTTGAATATACCAGGCTGAGTGAAAGAAGGCAGCCACAAAAGACCATATGTTATATAGACATTAAAGGGAATGTCCAGGGTAAACAAATAGAGACAGAAATAGAGGTTTCCCAAGACTGGAATTTTTGTTTAGTAGATAATGGGGATTGAATGCTAATGGGTACAGAATTTCCTTTGGGTTTTATGAAAATGTTCTAAAGTGATTGAATTGTGATGGTGGTGGTATAACTGAGTAAACTAAAAAATTGTTGAGTTGTTAATTTATAGGGATGAATTATTGGATATGTTAATTATATCTCAATAAAGTTATTAATAAATGGTGGGAAAGGTGTCCTTCAGGGTAGTATAAATGAAATGTTTTTACCACAGTTTCACCTGTGACCCTTAATAAAATCATCAAAAATCCGGAGCCACATGTGGTGGAGTGAGCCTATATCACCCTCTATCCAGGAGGCTGAGGTGGAGAATCACTTGATCCCAGGAGAAGCCTAGGCAATTTAGCAAAACTCTTGGCTCAAACAAAAAAGTCCTGATAGAGAAATCTTGAATGAACTGAGAACAAGTTTTCCATTAAAAAAAAAAAAAAATCCAGGGGCTTGGGTTGTGGCTCAATGACAGAGCACTTGCCTTGCACATGTGAGGCACTGAGTTCGATCCTTAGCACCACATAAAAATAAACAAACAAGATAAAGATACTGTGTCCATGTAAAACTAAAAAATATTTTTTAAAAAAATCCAAGAGCTTTTCTTTAATTGTGGTTTAATTAAGACTAATTTTTGAGTCATATACTACTAGATTTTATATAGTTCACTTTTTGAAATTAAAGATATCATGGGAAAAGTTCTTGAAAATAGTAACTATCTCCAAGGTGATTTGTTTTCAAATTAATATAGAAAAAGAATCTATTTTTTTGGAAGAAAAATCACCTTATACTAATTATYTCACTAAGAATAACATCAAAACAGCTGGTTAAGAAGGCCACACAATTGCCCAGCCCCAAATTCAGTATCAACTCAGTGAACTCAGTTAAAACATCCTTCCACCCGCGCCMGGAAAAGACCCAGCGACCTGCCGGCGTGGCAGGCACGTCATGCCATTTGGAGTAGGGGCCAAGCAGAGCTGCCGTCTGAGCCCGCAAGGTAGGCAGATCTGCGACCGACCGGCAGAACAGGCCCAGCGACCTGCCGGCATGGTAGTCACGTCACCCCAATTGGAGTAGGGGCAGAGCAGAGCTGCCGCCCGTGCCCTGAACAGGCCCAGCGGCCCGCCAGCGTGGTAGTCCCGTCACCCCAATTGGAGTAGGTGCAGAGCAGTGCCGTTGCCCGCACCCTGAACAGGCCCAGGGGCCAGTCGGCATGGAACTCACGTCACCCCAATTGGAGTAGGGGCAGAGCAGAGCCGCCTCCCACCCTCGAAACAGGCCCAGCTACCCACCGGCGTGGTAGACACATCACCCCAATTGGAGTAGGGGCAGAGCAGAGCCGTTGCCCGCACCCTGAACAGGCCCAGGGGCCCGTCAGCATGGAACTCAAGTCACCCCAATTGGAGTAGGTGCAGAGCAGAGCCGCCTCCCACAATCGAAACAGGCCCAGCAAACCAACAGCATGGTAGACACATCACCCCAACTGGAGTAAGGGCAAAGCAAAGCCGCCGCCCGAGCCTGCAAGGTAGGCAGACCTGCGACCGACCRGCAGAACAGACCCAGAGGCCCACCAGCGTGGTAGACAGATCACCCCAATTGGAGGAGGAGCACAGCTGCTGCCCGCCCTGCAAGGGAGACTTTTCAACTATACAAGAGCATTATAAATATATAGGGGGAAAATTTCAAAAACACAACAGTTTCACCAAGCAGAAAGCAATGCAAGCAGTATGAAAAGACAAGGAAAGAAAGGACCACAAGCAATGCAGGTCAACTCAACTTTAGAAGAGGCAATAGCTGCAACAGATGGAATGTAAGATAAAGAATTCAGGATATACATGCTTCAAATGATCTGGAGTCTCAAGGAAGACATKAGACAGCAAAATCAGACAATGAAAGATCACTTTGACAATGAATTACATAAAAAAATCCAAGAAGCAAAAGATTAACTATACAGGGAGATAGAGGTAATAAAAAACAAACAAACAGAAATCCTAGAAATGCAGGAAGCAATAAACCAACTTTAAAACTCAATTGAGAATACTACCAGCAGAGTAGAACACTTAGAAGATAGAACATCAGACAATGAAGACAAAGTATTTCAACT